CAGAGAAGATGGAGAGTCTGGTGCTGCCTACAATTTATTTGCTGATTAAGTTCTCAATAAATCTTGGCTTTCAGAATTATCAAGTGTCTGCAGGCCCAAGTGTCTTCAGAATCTCTTCATGCAAAGAAACCCAAGAAATTATGATCACTGATGCTTGTATTACTGTGTGTGTTCTCTTTTTTTGTGATAATGGCATCTTTTGAAAGGAATATATCTGAAGTGTAATTGAAACTATTCTGACTTAGTGTTTTAATAAATGTGTATGGGAAAATACAATGCACCAGTGTTTCAAAGGCTATATACCTGTTCTATTTTCTATAGGCCACAGAACCGCTGTGCCATCCCATTTCAGAGAAACATTAGATTGAAGAAATATTTTATGAAGTGCTTTGTACTCAAATTGCTGTTTCTAAAGAAAAAGAATGTATGGTTTCATATTTATAGTTGAATAATTTTAAGTGAAGTCATTTAAATATAATTATTGCTCACATTAAACATTTTATAGAAAAGTTTTCAAATATCATTATTTGTGTTTATGAAATATAAAATGTCTATCAAGAGAACTCCATATCTGATGTTTTCATTTTTATGATCAAACACAGATTGAGCATGGAAATGCATGTACAGTTAAGTACTGCATATGTCCTGTGTGCTTGCTGTCTATTTTCTTAACTCTGGAAGATCACTGGACCTCAGATCATTATCAGAAGAGATGGATGACATTAAACATGGTATGAACAGATCATGTATCTGTGAGAGTTGTTGCAGAAATGGAAAGTTCAGTGGTGGCAGAGAATGTTGGTGAGCACCGGAGTGGCCATCCTGTCCTTACTATGGCCTTCTCACTGGAGTTCACACAGAGAACTTAAGTAGAACAGTGATATGGGATACTGAGCCAACTAGCCTTATAGTAGTGATATTAAGGAAAAAAATTTCTACCATTCTGCAGCATTGCACATCAGTGGAGTATTAATAATTGTGAGTATTTCACATTTTATGGTTTTTCCTTATTAACAGTAATAATGATGCCTTTGCTTTAGAAGTCAAATGAAGTGGACTCAAATAAAATTTCTTGTCCAGCTCTTACATTGACACGAAGACAAGAGTAGCCTATACTCAATTTTATATAAATGATATGAATTTTATATAAAGTATATAGAGGATAAAGTAATGATAGCAGTTAGCATTCTTGAACACACTGTACTCTGTTCTATCTAGGCAATCCTCATTTGGTGTAGAAGGCAGGAATTACAATTCCTCTGTTTCTAGTTCCTAAGACAAAGGCAAGGTAGAGAGTCTTTTCTTTCTTATTCTAATAATTGCTTGTACCTTTTTCTCTCTGATTATTTTTAGCTAAGAAATATTCCAAGCATTTAAAATGACAAAGGATAATAAATGCAGGCACATTCACCTGAATTTCATAAATGCTAAGAATTTGGGGTGTATGTTTCAGATCACTGCAGTGGAAGAGATATTGCAGGCATGGCTGAAGTCTATTTTGGACCTTTTTACTCTACCATCCTCCCTTATCTCCAATTGTAGCCCATAGTTACAGTTATACATGCTCTGAGGTTGCTTTAACATTATTCTGTAAGTACATACAAAAGAGTATCACACTGTTTTATAATTTTGATCTAACAAAAATGACATTTTATAGTCAGATTTATTCTATCTTACTCTTGATTTCTTGAGGTGAATGTTTAGTTCCTTAATATCTGTCTTCTTTATTTTCTAACATACATAATTGTATCCAAAGATGCCTGTGAGCACCAAGTTGGCTGCTTTCCACAAGTTTTGAGTAGAGTAGCCACTGAGTTTAAATATGATGGAATTTTCTTTATGATTTCTTCTTTGATTCTAACTATTACAATTTTCCTTAAATTTCTAAAAACACAGTGTTGTTAAGTTATTAAATTCCACTTCTGTTGGGTAAAGTTTACAAATATAGTCTCTAGAGCAATGGTTCTCAATTTGTGGGTCATGACCCCTTGGTATCAAACAACCCTTTCACAGGGGCTGTATAGAAGATACCCTGCATATTAGATATTTATATGATGATTCATAACAGTATCAAAATTATAGTTATGAAGTAGCAATGATAATAATTTTATGGTTGGGATCACCACAACATGAACAACTGTATTAAAGGGTCACATGTTAGGAAGGTTGAGAACCACTGCTCTAGAGTATTAATTCTTTGGTATTTGTTGAGAACTAATTTTGGCTTATTACCTGATCTATTTTTTAAAACTGAATTGTTTTAACTCGGAAAAGACAGCATGTTAGCCTTCCTTCTTTACAAATAAAGCCTAACATCTGTTTTTACGGCAAACATAATATTGTTCGACTCATGTATCAATATTAGAGGACTTTTTTTCTGTTTGATCTATCAGATTTGGAGAGAAGTATATTTAATGTTCCCATGAGGATTATGGTTTTATAAATTTCTCCCTTGAGTTTTTCTCAGCATATCTTCATGTGGTTTGAGACTTGTTGCTTTATGCATTTTAATCTATATCTCTACTTTACTCTTAGAAATGGCATCCTCTACAAGTCTGTTTCATCTTCTCTAATTATCACAGAACCAGCACTCTATTTTGGACAGCTTTTCCTTTTCTACTCTAGTTTCAATTTATCAAAATCGTTGTTCTCTAGTTGACTTTGTTGTACAGTGTCAAGTTAGATTGTTTTCAAATCTCCAACCTAAGCAATTAGATGACAGGGAAGTTTGTTCTCTTTGCCTTGTACTTGCTTACAGTTTTTGTAATTTTCCAACCTTTTTTTTTCATTCAAGTTGCATTTTTAATTTTTCTTCTCCCTTTCTACCAGATTAATTGGTTTGCTTAATCCAACCTCCATTTTCCTTCTACTATTTAGAAGTTTATTCATCTTTCTTCTGCTCTTTCATTAAAATATGTAAATGTTTGTTTTGATGCATGTCTTAATGAAATGAGACAGTAATCACAGATTGTTCCAGTATGATGTTCTCTACACACACACACACACACACACACACACACACACACACACACACCCCTCACCATACATACTACTGCCTACTAGTGGTTTACTTAGGCCTGTATGTATAAGCCCTCCAAAGATGCGTTATTACTTGGTTATTATAGAGATATTTTTTTATCATTTTGCACTGTTTCTCTGCAAATATTTACTTGCCCTTTTTCTCAATTTCATCATGCACGAATAGGAATTATAGTAGGGTGTAAGAACGCCTCCAAACTTCACTGTTACCTGGAGACCATTCAGGTGTCATCGTGTTTGTTGATGTTTTATTAACTAGTACTTCTTCCTTCTGAATCAACAGTCTTCTTCCTAAAATGGACCCCATAGTAGTTCTGTAATAAACTCCCAGCTAACTTTAAAGTGCTTTTACTTTGTTATCTTTGAATGATGCATAATCAGATGTGATATTATAGATGAGAGTTACTTTTTCCTGAAATTAGGAAATTATTGTGCTGTTTTCCTCTGGCACCTTGATTTGTTCTCACAAATCTAATTGCACAAATGATAGTTTGCACTTTCACCAGGATTTATTGAAAGACACATTTGTTTTTGTTTTCTGTCTGTTCTTATTCATTTTGGTTCTTCCATCTGAGAGCTGAGAGCTGTGCTGTGGGGCAAGTTTGTGGAGTAGGATTCAGCTGTGAGGAGTGAGATTAAGCAATGATATAAGGAATTATCTCCTCAAACATTTTTCCCTCTTAGAAATCAAGTGCCTGACCTGTCACATAGCTCTTTGCTTCACTTGCAGATCTTCCAACTATCTTTCTTTACAACTTTCTATGTGATTTCCTCAGAACCAGTCTTTCATTTCATATTCCTCTTCAGTCGTGTTTCTAATCCTATATAACCTTTATATTGATTTTTTAAAATTATTTTTTAGGTAGGTTTGAGATTCACAGAAAAGCTACAAAAGTTATTAAGTTACTCCAGGGTCTTCCATCCTATACACCCAGGTCTCCCTATAGCTAGAGTTTTCTCTCCAGGTCCCGCCAAGCCCTGGTAGTCCAATAGCCCACTTATAAAATAAACACACAGACGCTTATATTATTTAAACTGTTTGACCCAATGGCTCAGGCTTCTTGCTAGCTGTTCTTATATCTTAAATTAACCTATTTCTATTAGTCTATAAGTTGCCACATGGCTTGTGGCTTACTGGTACCTTACATCTTGCTTGTCTTGGCAGCAGCTGGCAGCAGCCTTCCACTTCCCAGAATTCTCCTCTCTCCTTGTCCTGCCTATATTTCCTGTCTAGCTACTAGCCAATCACTGTTTTATTTTTAACCAATCAGAGCAACACATTTAACATACAGAACATCCCACAGCATCTCCCTGTTATTATCACAGTGTGTTTCAACTAGGGAACAAATGATGATGTAGTATGATTAACTAAAGCCTTTGTGGCTTATTCAGAGTCACTTAGTTTGTGTCTAATAATACCTTTTCTCTCCTAGTATCCCAACTAGGTACCATATTACATCTAGTCACAGGTCTCCCTGGATCCCCTGGGCTGAAGGGTTCTTAGACCTTTCTTCCTTTCATTGATTGGCATTTTGAGGGGTACTTGTCAGCTATTTTCTAGATGCTTCTTGACTGGGATTTGTCTGATGTTCTCCTCTGGGTTAAGCCAAGAGGGTGTTTTTTTAAGGAAGATGATGGGTAAAGTGCCATTTTATATTTATATTTATATCAATGGCATATACTTTCGAGGTGACATCACACCTGGATGAGGTATGTTTGACTTTAGCTCCACCTCTTTCCATTCTGTGCTGACTGGCAGGTGTACAGTTTAGCAATATTAAACTCATGCACATTCTTTTCAGCATCCATCTCTAGGATGTTTCCCTTCCCACAAAACTTCACAACTCCCTTTCTCCCCTGACTACCACCATTGAGTGATTTCCATCAAGTTTTAACTTAAACCATACATTGTCTACTGATACAGCCTTGCCATGTATTTTCTCTTCATAATCATATCTTACCAGGAAACAGAGTGGAATGGAGGCCCACATCAGATCCACACTTCCTCTAGCTCCTGCTCTGTTTTCAGGAAGATGTGTTTACAGTAAATTTCAGAGCCTGGAAACAGTTTTTTAGTTGTCTATTAGCAAAGTACCAAAATTAATACTTTTCCTCCCCTCCCTCTGAAGATATTAAGTGAAACTGACATCAAGTAGACTGAAGTGAGATGCATGAAAGAGCTGTAGAAGCTGTTAGACAAATCATTTGACATATATGGATATACATCTATATGAATTTTGTTTACACACATAGATGGATCTATTTGTACATCCTTATCTGTGAGCACTACCTGTATCAGTGCCGGTACCTAGTTAGCTTCCTTTTGTGGATTGGTCATAAGAAGACACTTCAAGAGGAATTGTGCATTTTGAATAGTTTTTCCTTTATTGAAAATAGTTTTTTTATATAATATATTCTGATTACAATTTCCTCTCCTCCACCTTCTCCCTCTATCCCTCCCTTCCCATCCAGATCCACACCCTTCTGTCTCTCCTTAGAAAACAAACAAGAATCTAAAGAATGATAATAAAATAAATAAGATAAAATCAAAACAAACAAGTCAGATAGGACAAAACAAACAGAAGAAAAAGAACCAAATAAAAGGCAGGAGAAACAAGGAAACACAAGTTGACACATACAGGAATCCCAGGAAAAAAAAAACTGGAAGCCATTTTGTGTGTGTGTGTGTGTGTGTGTGTGTGTGTGTGTGTGTGTGTGTGTGTGTGTGTTTTGTTTTGTTTTGTTTTGTTTTGAGACAGGGTTTCTCTGTGTAGCTTTGGAGCCTTTCCTGGAACTCACTCTGTAGCCCAGGCTGGCCTCGAACTCACAGAGATCCACCTGCTTCTGCCTCCCAAGTGCTGGGATTAAAGGCATGCACCACCACTTCCTGGCTTTATTGTCTCCCTTTTCATCTGGGCAGCAACGTCTACAGAGATGGGAGATGCAATTCCTAAGAAGTCTAGGTTTGGCATTGATTAACATCTAGATGATATTGTCCAAATCAGCAAGGAGTATCATAACAAAATTGCTTTGTTGCTACCCCTGACAAATAATCCCAATTTTATTTTTGTGTCAGATTAGAAAGTCCAGGTTATCAAAGCAAATGTATTTATCAGTTTATCCGTGATTCTGCCTCCCTTTGGTAATTGAGCCTTAAACAATCTTTTTTTTACAATTGTTTTTGTTTATTCTTTTTATTTAATATTCTCTCATGTAATATATCCCAAACACATCCTCCCCTCCCTCCCTTCCTCCCACTCCCCACTCCTCCCATCTCTCCCAGATCCAGCCTCCATTTCCCTTCAGAAAAGAGTAGGCCTCCCAGGAATATCAACCAAACATGGCATAACAAGATGCAAGAAGACTAGGCACAAACACTCATATCAAGGCTGGGCAAGGCAACCCAGTAGGGGCAAAAGGGTTCCAAGAACAGGCAAAGGAGTCAGAGACACCCAACTCCCACTGTTAGGAGTCCCACAAAAATCCCAAGCTAAACAACCACAGCATATATGCAGAGGACCTAGCTCAGACCCATGCAGGCTCTGTGATTGCCACCAGTCTTTGTGAGCTCCTATGAGCCCTGCTTAGTTGATTCTGTGGGACATGTTCTCCTGGTGTCATCAAACCTTCTGGCTCCCACAATTCCCCACCCTCCTCTTCTGTGGGGTTCCCATGCTCCACCTAATGTTTGGCTGTGGGTCTCTCCATCTGCTCCCATCTGCTGCTGGAGGAAGCCTCTCTGATGACAACTAGACAACCCACTGATCTATGAGTGTAGCAGAATATCATTAGGAATCATTTCATTTAATTAATTAATTAATTTTTATTTATTTAATTTTTCCATTCATGTTTGATTCTACCCTAGGTCCCTGGGCTGTTCAGCTTCTGATTCCTGGCCATCTCCATCTCATGAAGTGGGCCTCAAGTTTTGTTTATTCTTGTAAAATCATGCCATAGAAAAAAATTCACTCATTAGTCTTTTGTTTTAAAGATTTTATTTTATTTTTAGTATATGGATATGTATGTATCTGTGTGTAAGTATGTAGGTATGAGGGTAGGTGTTTGCTGAGGCCGGAAAAGAGCATTAAGTTCCTTAGAGCTGGAGTTCCAGGCATGGAGGTGCCTGACATGGGTAAAGGGAACTGAACTTGGACCTTCCTCAGGAGTAGTTTCCCCTATTAACTGCTGAGCCATCTCTTCAGCTGCCTGTTTGACTCTTGCTGGTCAGTAAACAGGTCTCCCTTACCCTATTTTTCTCAAGCTTCAATGCTCAACGCTGAGAAAAAAAACAGACCCTTAGTTCCTGACCTAAAATACTCATGGCATTCATACTTGGTCTCACTCTGAAGCCAGTCTGACAACAAAGGGCAGTGAGTAAAATGTGAATCCCAGAGACACGTTAAAATAGAGGAAAGGCTAGTTAGGAAGCAATCAGGAGATGAATTTTCTTTGTTACTTTGCGTACTCAGAGCTTAGTTTTAAAATAAACCTTGCTAGGGAGATGAACAAAATAGTTCTGTTGTATAGACCTTTGAAATGCATTTCTAGTCTTTATATGTGCTACCAAAAAGGAGTCATTAAGGAAAGGATAGGTAATTTATATGAATGAAGATACTTAGGGCCACTTTGAAATAAAGAGAATGGTATCGATGTGATGGTGATCAATGCCCTCAAAGTGGTTGGGGTAGCAACCTGAGTGGGCACAGGTGGGGTATTGAATGAAAAACAAACCCATGGGTATTTTTTGTATCCTCTTACAGGGACTGCTGCCTGCTTTGTGCATGAGAGGGCATTCATGTTCCACTACATATGCTACACTATTGCCCACTGCTTACTCACATGTCTCACACTCCTTTCTATCATGATATTTGAACTTTTAGGCAATTTTAATTTTTGCATGCCTATACCCAACACAATGTAAAATTCAAGAGGGTTTGTCATTTATGGTAGAGTTAACCTTACATGGGTGCTTCAGGATGTGGGCACAAGGCAAGCTATCAGGAAATCTTGCTGTACAGAGTACAGGAGTCAGCCAACAAGGACTTTTAGTACATTACATATATAAAAAATAGTAAGAAAGAGTATCTACAGCCAAAGATAAAGGTAAGGAGAGATAATAAGAAGGAAAAATGACACAAAACCAAGTAGCTTGGAGCCCAAGCTTGAGAGGCATATATGAATGAAGTGACGTGGGGTGCACATCATGAAGTCAGGAGGCAGCTCCCTGGATGGTTGTTCAACTTGGTCACCATATTTGTACTGTCTTTGAATTTTGCTCTTTTTTTAGTCGTTTTTATTTGATCATTTAATCTTCTTTTTTCCTACCTTGGCTCCATCTTAAACACCACACACAGATGTTAACTCAAAACTTTCAGGCAGTCACCAGGTGCTAAAGTGGTAATTATTTCTTCTTGCAGAAGACATGTCTCATTTAATAATTTATCAACATAGAGATTGGCTGTGGTTGTGGCAGTGGGTTTTTTCTTAATTCTCCAAGAGCTGTAAAAGGTAATGTAGTGGCATGAAGTGAATCCCCAGATGGAGTTCCCATCAGTGTGAATTGCTGTGCTGGTCTTTGAAGGGCTAGTTCTTTCCACACCATCAGCAGCTGTGTAGGGATTGCTTTAGATTTTAAAAATGTGCACAATTAGTTGATCTATAGCCAGAGAATTCCAAGATTGTTGTTTTAGGTTTGACCACTGGGGTTATTTGTGCTTTTCTGTGCTGGAAGTCAGATGTAATTTTTAACTAGGCCTTTTTCCTTACCTTTCACTTCTTGAAGGATAGACAGAGAGAAAGCAATCTTCTGTGTCTCCTCGGTGATACTAGCTTCACTGGGTTCATATGTCCTCAGCTCAGCGCAAATCTTCCTCATGCTTCAGGTGTGTCCAGAGCTTTTATTTCCTTCTGTATCTTCCAGGCTGGAAAAAAATGCACTATGTGTGACGAGATAAGTTAATTTGGATAAATACCCTTCTTTTTCTCTCATCCTGGCTTCACTGCCTGAAACCTTGAGAAACATCTAGCTTTGACAAAACCTTGGTCATTGACCTCACAATCTTAGGAAGGTTTATCTCATGTGACTTAGAGGTAGAAGTAGTTACTTTCAGCAGTTACAACCTTCAAAGAGTGCTAGGAAAAGGAACCGTGGGTCACCCTGCTTCTTATCAAGAGCATCTGGCAGTCTTAAAAGAAGACATTTGTTAGACAGGAGAGACTCTCTTCAGTTAAATATGCAGCAAGGACATTGCAGAGTGGCCATCAAATCACACCTTAGGAAATTTCAATTGTGAGTGTGCATGTGTCTTTAGTCTTTGAAGATGAGTATTTTGTGCATTTATTCTCTTTGAGAATATATATATATCAAAATATTTTTATAAAATATTAGCTCTGCATAATGGCCTGTTTATAATGCCATGTTTGCTTTGGCTTTGATGAGACCCAGGCATGTACCTGCTGTGTGAATTATATCCATGAGAGAGAAGCTCATGCCACGGCTTCTGCACACCAGTTTCTCTCATCTGCCAGGATATGTAAGTGACTCTCACAGAAGGCAGGGCCTCTGCAGTCTCTACATAAGGCCGCAACAGTGATCATCAAGTCTAGGTAACTAGTTTATTGAATATGATGTCAGTGTGACTGGAAGTGCATCTCTTCCTACTAAAATCAAATGCAGCAGAGGAGGGAAGTGGGCACAGAGCTGAATTTTCTCAAACCTCACTGTTGCAGTTTCAATGCTAACGGTCCCCCAAAAGCTACGTGTCTAGGGCTTGCTCCCCAGAATAGTACTTCTGGAGGAGATAGCACCCTTAGCAAGTCAAATATAGGAGGTCATGTGTAGCAGGAATCTTAAGGAGTCTTATTAAAAAAATCAAACCTGAGGCCAGTTATTGGGGTGAATACTGGAAGATCAGAGAGACAGAACAAGCCACAGCTAACCTCACCTGGCCAACTTCTCAGTTGATCTTGTTTCCTCTGACTGGAAGCCTCTGTGTCCTCATATCCGAATGGCTCTCAGCTGAACTGTGCTGCTCAAAACCTAAAAGCTTAACTAGCCAAAATGCTTCTAGTTCCTGGTCCTCGTGCCTTATATATCTTTCTGTTTTTGCCATCACTCCCTGGGATTAAAGGTTCACTTCTTGGGATTAAAGGCGTGTGTCACCATGCCTGGCTGTTTCCAATGTGGCCTTGAACTCATAGAGATGAAGGGATTTCTGTCTCTGGAATGCTAGGATTAAAGGTGTGAGTACTACCATTTTCTAGCCTTTGTATCTAGTGGCTGTTCTGTCTCTGACCCCAGATAAGTTTATTAGGGTGCACAATATTTTGGGGAACACAGTACCAGCACAGTCATGGGGAGAGGGAAGCAAGGGGCCCCATGCCTCTTTTTTCTTTTTTGATTCGTGTTCTCACTCAGTACTCTATCATCCTCTGGCACCCCACCAGAGGCCCAAAGCATAGGATCCACCTGGGATTATGAGCCCAAGTTAACCTTTCTTCTGTATAAGTTAATTATCACTCTTATCTTTATGTTAATTATTGCTATGTTTTAGTGAGGGAAAGCTGATATTAACATCCACTAGCCTTCAATAGTGAGTCTTGGGATTAAAATAAAATAACAGGGAGCATCTGCATCTAATGTTAATCCACCCAGCTTCTTTCTTCTGAATTTCAAGAAGCAAGCTGAAATTAATAGGACAGATTTCTGTTTGCTCTGTGTGTATTACTTCCCTGCTTCTTCCTGAACATTTAGCCAGAGACGTCCCCAATAAATCTGAAGATAAAATAGTCTCAATTGTCAGAGACATAAGGGAATCTCAAAATCATCTATAGGAACAATCTGAATCCCACAGAGAACATGGTGTACACAAGGACATGACCTGAGCATGCACAGGGTGACTTACAGTACAGGATGCCCTGTAGTCCCCCATGCTAGTTCATCCCCATTTCCCTCTTGATTAATCTTATTCACAAACTAGGTCTCCTCATTGTGTCTTCCAGGAACTACAGTAGCATCCATTTTGTCTCTTCCCTGGAGACAGTGAAAGGGATAGTTCCTCTTAATATTAGAAGAAATTGTCAAAGACCTTACTGATGCTGGCTTTGTCTGAATCTCTCCTTTAGGGAGGGGTGGAAGCCATAGATCTTGGCAGATGTTCAGCACAGACATCTGTTGACAGGTGTCAGCTGACCCCTAAGATAATCAGGTGTCCTAAAACGGACCACAATTTTCCAACCAAAGAAATATCTGTGAATCACAGGACGAAGTATAAATGTGTTTTCTAGCTTCTTTTTAGCTACTCTGCCACCTCACATAATTAGTCCATAAATTAAAGCCAAGAAAGGAAGAGTCCAAGGCCATTCTCCTCGATACAATCACAGAATCAATGATAATGGATTTAGTCTTTTCACACCCTAGTATGTTTCATCATATTCAATTGAGCAGTATGGCTGTATCAAAAGAATCTTAGACTAGTACTGCCATTGTGAAAGCCCAAATGGCTGGGTCTGGCTATGCCCTCTACTGTCTCAAAAGTTTTGAAAAGCCTCTGACCAATCCAGTCTCAGTCTTCTCATTTGTAAAATATTAATATACATAGGCTGTTCTTCACACATAATGATTTCCTGAACACTTAAATTAACCAGATTTTTGAGAGTGGGGCCTAGGTATGTCATATTTACCATTACACCTCCAGAACTGGGCCTGCAAGATGACATGTACCATGTCCATTAGGTCAACAAAGTGACAGGAGTTTAGAGAGAGAATAAACTGTTACTCTGGTTTTTAATGCCTTTAATGTTGCTGTTTGATTCTCTAGAATGTGAGTTAGTTTGGATTGCTATTTTCCATTTTCTATCACTAAGAAGGAACTGAGGGACAAAAAATTCCTAAAGTGAATCAACAGAGACAAACCTGGTCATAAATGAGTGACTTCCAAAGCTCATGCTATTTCTGTTTAAATTCTTCTCTTGTCTCAGTACCTGGCACACAAAGTGGATGGTTTTGACCTTTACAGAGGTCTATTCTGTGACCCCTGATAGAGTGTGTTTCATCAATCATCAACAGCAAGGTGAACTCTGATTATCATCACTGGTCACTTCTTTAGTTTTCCTCTTTGGTCTTTGATAAATGAGTATTTTTCGTGGCAAAGATGTAATTCTAATAGTACTGCATGACATGCAGCTTCTGCCTGCCAATGCAAAGTGTCTGAGATTGTTCAAATGGACTCTTATTTTAAAGCCCCTTCACTGTGGATTCTGAGAGCCAAAAGAAAGACTAGGCCCTTAATACCACATATGTCTGATTTTGCTCAACTATCCAGGAAAGAAAAATTTGAGAAGAATTACATGTGTAAAGAATGCCTAGATGCAGGGGAAATCATATTCACATTTCACAGATGGGGATATTGAGTTTGAGAGAGACAAGAAGCTTTGCTCAGCTTTTGAGACAGAAAGTTACAGCCAAGTCAGCTTATTATGTAATATGGATAACTGTCATCTTCAAGGGCTGTTTTGATGAATCAGAAAGAAAATACATGCAGAATTAGGGAGCACAAAATCCAGTCACAAACAAATATTCAATGAAGGTGAGTTTCTATGACTTCCATTTTCTTTGTTTTCTCTAATGCAAATTAAATTGTGATGAAAAGAAGAATTCAACTCCAGCTTGGTAATGGCTCACCTGAAGTGTATCCTCTCATTCATATCCATCTTTCAGATAGCTGTTGTATGCACATCTCCTGTTAACACAAATTGGAGGGAGTAATATGACCTTCATTTGTTGACAGAGCACAGTGATGAATGTCCCAATTCAGGCAGGAATTGAATCTCTATGGTGTAGGATGGCTCTGCTACCTGATTTGACCATACATCATCCACAGAAATTAACCCATCTTCACCACTGTCATTAACATGGAAGCAAGTGTTTTTCCAAAATCACCTTCAGATGGGAAGGATGAAGGCCCCGCTAAGTGTCTATAGCAAATCCACTTCTATAATCACATTGCTGTTTGTGTTTTTTAACTTTTCCACTTTGCTTTAAGATGCTGTGTGGCATGACTGTATTTGTGTATACATTTGTTTCTTAAATCAGAGTTGAACAGAAGCTTATAGCTTCATAGGAAAAGATAATGATTTCTGAATTCAAGAGTCAATGTCCTGTTTCACATCCATTCTTGTTCACTTTAGTATGACTTTATGGGTCATCAAGTGTGTTAAATACAAAAATAATGATGTGGACCCCATCTTTTATAGCTCCAATGAATGATATACTTTTGAAATCTCAAAAGCATTATCACCCACTGAAAAATATAGATCACTGTAATTTAAAACAAAAATGAATTTGTTCACAAATGGGTCCTATACCAACAAGATTTTGTTTTGTTCTTGTTGTTAAAGATTATATTACTTTAGACTTTACTATTTTTAATTCAAATAATACTGATCAGTAGGTATATAAGTCAAATACTAGCACATATGTCAAATTTATATAAAGTGTAATATTGGCATTCATATGCAGTGAAACCAATATTTATACATTTAAGTGTGAACATAGATGATGTATGATTATTTTACAATTAACATGCTTGGGTTATAGAATTATTATCTAACAGTGAGTCAGTAAGGAGAACATAAACTATCCTACCTATTTCAAGCATAGAGGGGTTTAGTTTAGTTTAGGGGTTTAGTTCAAAGCCCATGAAATAAATAGTTAATGGTTACTAAACTTATTTTTCTCTCATTATTTCTGTTGTATGTTAATCCATAAGATAAAGGAATGGAGGAGTGTTGGCTGGTCATATGAATGACCAGGTAATAGAAAGTCCTTAAAGCCCAGCCTATGTTGGGTTTTGTGTAAGACAAAGGTCAACTTTATTGAAATAAGACAGAGATTTGAGAGTTCTGACTATTGAAGTAGCTAGGGGCAATTACCTTACAAATCTTTGTAAAAAGGCTGGAAAGCCTCAGAGAGCAGATCAGCCATGTGACTACTCATGTTCAAAGAACCAGGAAGCACAGGAAATGACCATCTAGGATGCAGCTGTATCACAGTACTTTGGTAAGTGGTGTGCAGGATGACACTTAAATAACGTTGGCAGAAACTCACACCTGAAGCCTGCAAGTGCATGTGACTATTTATCGCCTCAAAGGAGTCAACATTTTTTCTATCCTCTTTTGCCTTTGAAATCTCACATAACTGAGTCATGTTGTCACATTCTAAATCCCACTGGTATAGGATCTAGGAAATAGAGTTCCCATGCTTTCTAGTGCTATAATGCCAGGAAAAGACAGTAGAGCATGGCCAAAAGACAACCTCATTCATTTGGTGGCCTAGTTTATAGATCCCAATTTTTCTGGAAGAGTTGACCCAGAGTAGTTAGTAGTAGCATTCTATTTTCATCTCAAAATTTTCCTGTTTTCAGCCTCAATGACATGTCTCTCTACCTATTATTAACATGATAAAAACATGTCATTCATTTTTCGATTATACTAAGTGCTAATCATTTTGCTAAGCACCAAGCACAGTGGTGAACAAATTATAGTTGTTCCTGGTCTACATGAAATTTAAGAGTCCTGTCTTAGGTTATGAATAGACCTACATAAAGCAGCAATACAGAGATGCTGTAAATTTGAATTAATAAAATAATAAACACAAATCTTAAAGGGTCAAATGAATTTGGATTGATTATGAAGAGTTTGAGAGACTGTGAGATATCCAAGTGGAAATGTCTCAGTGTCTCATAGACAGCCCAATATTTGAATCTGGGGCTCAGAGTTCTGACCATCTCATAATACAGAAAGTATTCAAGTTGATTTCAAAAGTCCCCACAGTCTTTAACAATTCCAATCTTGTTTAAAAAGTCTGTCTCTTTTGAGACTCAAGGCAATGTCTTAACTTTAAGCGTCTATAAAATAAAAAGGGAAATATACATTTCCAATCTGCAACATCACAGAATAAACATTCCCATTCCAAAGGTAATGCACGAAAGACTGAAACCCAGCAGGGCAAATGCCAGATCCTGCAGCTGTGTCCAGTGTCTGGAGCTTGTGATAAAATGATCTGGTCTCAAAGGGGTTGGGTGCTCCCTTTTCCCAGCTCTGCTGCCTGCAGCACACAGAGCCCCTGCCTTTCGTAGGCTTCTCTCCTTACATTCAGCTTTCCTCAGCAGGCGTCCCATGGTCCTACCATCCCCAGTGTCCTGGGAGGTCTCCATTGCAGCTTCTGCTTCACAGTTTCCTGTGGTGGCCTCCTCTCAGGTACTCCTAACAGAGATGCAAACCTACCACACATTGTCTGGCCACAATGGTTCTCTGGAAACATAATGCAAGACACTATGATCTCCCTCAGCAATGCCCCATAACCCCCTCAATCTTGTATATTTTATGCCTGCAAAATTGGTACTATGTAAATGATGGTGCCAAGTTCTGCTGCCAGCTGAGGATGCAGCCTGTTCCCCTTGGACCACAGTTGCATCAGCTTCTGTGTGCTGACCTTGAAGAAACGTTTCCCTAAGCAGTTGCTTCTGAAAAACAGAGAATACACTCAATGGCAAGTATCAGTTGCTTGACTTGTTGCTGTGATCAAATACTAAAAAAAAATTTGAAAAAAGAAGAGTTTATATTCGCTCATGGTTTTAGTGAATATTGTCCTTCCGAGCAGGGAAGGTGTGGTGGCTAGAACATGAGGCAGTTGGCCACATTGCCTATGACATCAGGATGCAGACACATGACGACTACTGTTCAACTCCCTTTCTCCTCTTTAACCAGTCCATGACTACAGCCCATGGGATGGTGCTGCCCACCCTTAAGACAAATCTCCTGTCTCATTTAATGTATTCTTTAAAAGTCCCTTATAGAGATGCCTAGATGTTGGTTTCCATGATAATTCTAAATCCTGCCTAGTTGATTAACAAGACTAACCCTCAGTGGGAAGGGAGCAGTCTGATTAAATCAATAAGGGTAGAGGTGAGACTGAGGTGCTATGACAGGTAGGCCCTGAAATACTCATCTTTCATTTGGGACATTTTGCTTTGAAAGAAAGGATTTGTTGGCCTTTAAAAATGGAACACATATGACCATTTGATCCCAGAATCACACAAAGGATTTGAAAGCTGGGAAAGGAGTTAGACTACATGACCTTCAAAATCTTTTACCTTCTTAAGTATTTGTTTCTCTGGTTCTTACTTAATAACTACCCAGGTTGAGCTTTTATAGTCATAGGCTGGTATCAATAGGGCAAAGAATCAGTCACCTTAACAAATTTAAATTTGTTTTTATCATACAAGTCTTTAGTAAAATATCATAAAGTTAGGGGCCCAAAATGTACATTGACACAGAATATAGGAAAGAATAGGACCCTTGACTTTTTTTATTTCATAAGCACTACTTTTCATTAAGATTTATTTTGTAATTGATTCCTCTGTTTAACCAGTTGTGTGTTCTAAACTACAGTTGGTAATTTTGACTAATTTTATTTCAGGCCTGTTTCTAGCTTCTCACCCAAAATAATGATTAAATGATGAGGTCATGACATTGAGGGGACTTACTGAATGACAATTGCTTTCAAAGACTTGAACATTTCCCCCGAGGGACCTGGCAGGTTTATTGACTAGAACAGAGTTAGCTTGCTACTAGTAGAGTGAGGTAGGCCACCATCTGGAAATATACTACATGAGGAGCACCTGGTCCTGTTTATGAAATGTCCCAGGGTTCTCATCACTCACCTCCAATCCTGCTAGGGCATGAGAGGACTAAATTTATAACTGAGTCTTAAGTCTGTATTGCAGCCTTTCATCTAGAATTGTCTGTTTGGGAAGTCTCTCCAAATGTTTTCTTAGCTTCAAGAGAAAAACCTCTCCCAGAGATACCTCAATCTTGATTGAAAATAAAATAAAATAAAATAAAACAACCTCTCACAAAGTCTACTTTTAGTTTCTCCTCCACCAATCAAGGCCAGTTAGCAGGGTGGATTGAAGCTCATAAAGCTGCTTGTGCTGCCTTATTAGAAAACTCACTTCACCTAGAAGAGTCAAAGTCCACATAGAGACAGACTCTAGGGAACTAGAACAAGGTTATTTTTCTCCAAGGAGTCCAAATCCTATAATTTCACTTTCTTCTGGCTTTGACCACACACAGATTTTTGCCGACTTGATTGAGTAACACTGGCTGACCATTTCTCTAAGGAGACTGATGTCTGTGGTTCCTAGCGAATTAGAAATTTCCAGATTATTTATGTCACTTTGTTTTTATGCCTTTTTTTACAGCCTTTTTGTGATTATATTAAAGATTAGTTTTCTTTAATTCCAACTAGTGAATTGAAAGATGAACCTTTGACATTAGAGTTGGTTTTAAAAATACAAGCCTCATTTCAATGAATATATCATAAAACTGTTCTAATTCAGCAACATTCAATGTGAAAACATGGGGTTTGGGGGAAATTAAAGAGCTGTAGCAGCCATGGCAATTTCACCTGGTCCATTTGTGGGCCTTACTCATTACTCAGTATTCACCCATCTGTTCTTCATTAACACAACTCACTCATAGTTACTGGCAGTGGTACTAAGTCTTAGGTTCTTTTGCTAAACAAAGGACAATGAAGACTAACTGGTGACAGTTGTTGCATTTGAGTTTGAAGAGCAGTCATTTATTATGACTTTAGGATTTTTTTTTCAAAAGACTTTCAATCTTTACCTCTAAGTAAATTGAATTTCAAATTGAGAAATATAATAAATGGCATCTTATGAAGTCTGAATCCCCCCAACTCCTATTCCCCAACCTCCACCCTCTCTCTGTGTTCTACCCTAGTCTTCCATTCCCTTGTATATATGTTTCTGTCTATCTTTGCATACCATGCTGGTCTAATTACCACAGGATGTTATGACCAAGGTGGAAAGAAATGTAAGAGTCTTAAGTCCTCATACACACAAAATCACAAAAATTTGTTAGCCACCAGCTTAGTTAAAAAGGCAATCTTCTGATTCAGTGAGAGATCCTGACTCAAGGCAATAAAAGAAGAGGAATAGATGGAGTCATCTGATGTTCTGTTCTGAGCTTTGAATGCACATGCATACTCACATGCATACACCACACAAACATACATCACACACACACACACACACACCACCACCCACAAATAAATAATAAATAAATAAGTAAAATATATAAGAATAGAGAGCTGAAGGTATAGTTCAGTGATTTAGTGTATAACTTACAATGCATAGGGTCTGAGCTTAATTCCCAACCCTATAAATAGACAAAAATTCAAAATGTAAATAATAAGTGTTTGTATAATAGCAGTATATAGTGAAATAAGATTGTACATATACAAAAGAGAACCAATTTAAATTATTAGAAATAAAACATATTAATTTAGATTTTCAAAAAAAATTTAGTAGAAAGAATGAATAATGGTTTATTTTCAAAAGTAGAATATCAAGGAGAGACTTTATAAATTGCATCATAGAAATTAGAAACTTTCCAAGGTAAGTTAAGAAAAGAGAAAGAATTGAAAATGTAAGAGATTTTGAAGCATAAATTCTATTATATATCTGTAAATAATCCTAGTGGAAGAAGACTGCTGAAGATTTAGCTGGAATTAAAGCAGGATATGTAACCGTGATGAGAACTGGACAGAGAATGCAAAAATGTTTAGATTTTTAAAACCTCTTTTTATATTAATGCTATAGTGGTACTAAATAACGAGGGACAAAATTTTTGATGTTTCGGGTGAGCAGATATGAAATATCACTGAAGCTTTCCTGGATTATATGGGTCTACTCTCGTGTTCTCTTATAAAAAATAAATCTTATATTTGAATTTAATTGTTTTTCTGCTGTTGCTTAGTCATCCTATCAGTCAATAGGCAAGGACAAGAAGACATAATAAGGATGGAACATGGATAAACTCATTTGAAAGAAGGCACATGTTAAGAGCAGCCTACGAGAGTCTTGTATTTATAGAGTACTTACTGGACACCTTTTCAAGATTGTTGTCATCTCATCTCCACAGCATTGCCAAGAGGCCAGTACTATGATCCCATCCCATTTTCCACACGAGGAACCCAAAGCTTATAGAAGCTAAGTCCCTGGTTTTAAGTCACGTAGCTTCAGTTGGTATGTTAAGTGGTGAGCCAGATTTTAAGTCAAATAGGATTTTGACTTTTGTTTAAAAAAAATTATTTTTTAAATTATTTATTTATTTTTATTTTATGTGCATTGGTGTCTTGCCTGCAGTTATGTTTGTGTGAGGGTATCAGATGTTGGAGTTACAAACAGTTGTGAGCTTCCATGTAGATAATGGGAATTGAACCCAGGTCCTCTGGAAGAGCAGTCAATGGTCTCATCTGCTAAGCCATCTCTCCAGCCCCCCATGAAGTCAAAATCTTAAGGACTATTTTATAATACTTTTATTTTAAGAAATTTTTAAGAAAATATATAGAAATATCAGCAGTTTTTCTTCTGTATGACTGTACTCTAGAATGTTAAGCTTGATGGGATTTGGGGTGGGAGATGGATCATTGGGTAAAGAGACTACCATATAGGATGATGATCAGAGTTTGGATCCATAGCCCCCATATACAAAATGGAGATATATGCCTGTAATCCCATAGCTAAGGAGGTAGAGACAGAAAGCTCTGGTTCTTCTTGGCCAGCTAATCTTGCCAGATCATCAAGCTCCACATTCATTGACAGACCCTGTCACAAAAAAAAAATAAAATAAAATAAAATAAAATAAGATGGGGGTGATAAAGAAAGACAACCAACTTCAACCACGTGCACATTTCCTGCATATGTATGTATGTACTTACAAATACATACAACCCCATATGCCGTCCCGCAAAGATTTTTGAAATTCCAGTTTTTAGACAGATTACTGGTTGTTTCACCTATCTAACATTTTTAGACGCCTGTGGCCAAGACCATCTAAGCAGCATAACCAGAAATGTTTTCTCTGGCAGTACAGTTATCCTCGTGATATATTTCTGGGAGACCTGGAACCCTCCAGACTCCCAAAATACAAAACTTACTTGCCTCTTATAAGTATCCTGTGTATTTCCTGTGGCCAGAACTTAGTCTTCTCAATTGCTTCAGTGGAACATAGCTGAGAGCATTTCCTCTTTACCTTCCTGTCCGTCCTTAAAGTAGACACTAGTCTACTACTGAACTTTGTAAAGATGGCAGAGTGAGCTTTGTGTAGTTTGCATAACAGATAACCACAGGAGGCCCTGCTCTACCAGTCATCACTAAAGCTCCCTTGCC